TCTCTCTCTCTCTTTCTCTTTGTCGCGTGCCTGCCTCTCGCCCTCCCTCCTCCTGCCCTCGCTCGCTCACTCACTACAGTGAATATACAAAGTCAAGTGTAGGGATCGTTGCGTGTCTTCGACCAGAAGCAATGCAAACCAATGAAAGGCACGCTTTGCAAAATACATTCAGAAAGCTACAACAGCATAACTAGCAACACAAGAAACACGAACCCCAACACACATCATCAAATTTAGGCTCTTAACTGGTTTTGACAAACCCAATAAATACAAATCCATGGAAATAGCAATACCTCTACCAAATTGCTACCAAAAGTATACCAAAACAAAAACCACATGCAGAGAACAGCAAAATCAAGAAAAAACACCTAGAATTCAAGATACACCATCCATTGTAGGAATCCTTGCCTGTTTCAACCAGAGTGACTCAGGATCCTTGCTGTCTCAATGCCAGAAACCCAGACTTTGTCCGCCGGGTGGAAAGCTCAGAAAACAGCCCTAGCCCTATGCTTTGCCAAGGGCAATCTGCCGAGCAGGAGCAGAGGCTTTCGGCAACTTGCCGCGAAGGAAATCCTGGTGACAGGACTCGGCCTTTGCTCAACCGAGGCCTGGAACTTTTCGAATACATTGGTGAGTTGAAGGAGACAAACTTCGAGGTACACCTCTCCCCTCACAGTTATAACCCAAACCCTGAAAGAAGATCGAGTCAGGTGGAAAGTGTTGATGTTCAGCGTGCTCGGCACAAGAAGTACAAGATGACTGCGTCTGAGTAATGCACGCGCCAGACCAAAATTGATGAGTTCGGTACGGGCAAGTCCAGCAGGCCTGTTCCGATGATGAATGTAATCAACGGTGGCCGGCATGCCGGAAACAAGCTGCCAATGCAGGAGTCCAGATCACTGCACTTCTTGTGCCTCGCATGACCGTATGGGCTCGTGCTCGAAGGAGTTTATGATTTCTCCAACGGGGGCCAAAACCTTCAAGGAGGTGCGGTGCTTGATGCAGCGGCGAACGGTTTGTCTGCAGAGTTTTCGTCTTCGAGTTCGGAGACCCGTACGTCACCTCATTGCACACGCTTTTTCCCCCTGCGTGAATACAAAGTTGACTGTCTTAATGCAGAATCATCAGTGGGCCCGGTTTGACTCATGGAACTCCGTGAATCTTGTAAACGAAGGCACTGCAGATTGGCTCTGAGGTGGGCCGGGTGGTCCGTGTACTTGCCATACATCGTGCGGCCTGCTTGCAGCGCAGAAAGATAAGTTCTTCGCAGGTCTATCACTCACTCAAGAACGTGGTGGTGGCCAAGTACGGCAAATCCGCTGCGGCAGTCGGCGATGAAGGTGGATCTGAATTTGCCTTAATCATCAGATATCATCAGCATGGGTTGGCTGATCACACGAAAGATAGCTCCATGGTGGATTGCAGGAGTTCTGTTGCCGATGCTGCATACTGTTTTGGGTTTGTGGAGATTTGACAGCTTTGCGCCCCAGCACTGTAAGCCGGGGGCCTGCTCGGGGACTGGCCGCGTTCTATGGGAGCCTAAGCGAAAAGGTTTGATGAACCAGTGCTGATGTCTACAAGACCCGTCCCCACTCATGCCATGCCAAGATGAGTAGAACTAGGCCTAGCCAAATGGTATGTCGTGTATTTTAGGTTCTGCGTTACTCCCCAGAGAGAAAATCATAACAGGGACGGAGGCCCTTTTCTGAGATAGGCGCAGATGCGTGGGGCCTGTGCTTGAAGTTTCAATCAAAAGCTTTTGCAGGGCTCTCAAGTACTGTAGCACATAACCACACTGAGGAAATAAAACACGACGCCTTCACTCGGTTTGAGAACCCCACGCTGGTGACATGCAGGTGGCTGACCCTTCAGTGAACTTGTTTTGCCAGTGGTTTGGTGCGAAGTTGCCCAACTTTTTGGCTGCGAGCCTTGCTGCCTGATGTCGCCGTAGTGGTCGTGGTTTGTTTTGGTTGTTGTGGTTCTTGTGACCTGGTCGTTTTCGTTTCGGTTCTTTTGGGGACTTACAACAGGACTAACAACATCAACGGGAACAAGAACAGTAGTAATAACAGTAACAGCAATAATGCTATGAGCATTGGTTTAAAGGTCCTTGTGTGGGGAAGATATAACACGGTTTTAACATGTAAAGTAGTGTGTCCGCGAAAGATCCGCGATGGGTCCGCGAAAGGAAAGCAACAATCCGCGAAAGTTGTTGTGTAATAGATTTGCCGTATAGGACTTGTAAGGTATATGCTGTACCAGTCCGTAGGCATAAAGGTCTCAAGCTCGCTGTCCCGCCGTGCCGCGATATCTTTCGTGAAATCATAGTAGGTTTAGCGCGCAAGATCCGATAAAGATGCGCGAAAGACGCCGCGAAAAAAGCCGGGTCGCTTGAAGGCAGTACTGTACTGTACTGTACTGTACTCTTCTTCTCCTGCTACTACTACTACTACTACTACTACTAGTACTACTACTGCTACTGCTACTACTACTACTACTACTACTACTAGTACTACTACTGCTACTGCTACTAGTACTACCACCACCTCAAACATGTCGCGCGAAAGTGAGGGCGAAAGTCCCGCGAAAGGAAAGCAATAATCCGCGGAGAAACCATAGCCAGAAACAGGAATATTGATTAATGTTCATATGGATCATGGCAATAGTACAAGCACGGTGGTGGTTGTGGGTTGTGGTTGTGGTTGCGGTTGCTCTTGTGGTTGTTGTTGTGGTTGTGATTGTGATTGTTATTACTATTGGTTTTTGTTCTTATTGTTGTTGTTGTGGTCGTTGTGGTTGTGGTTGTGGTTGTCGTCGTCGTCGTTGTCCTTGTTGTCGTTGTCGTTGCTACTGCAGCTGCTGCTGCTGCTGCTGCTGCTGCGGTTGTTGCTGTTGCTGTTGTTGTTGTTGTTGTGGTGGACCGGGTGCTCATGGTTGGCTTGTTCGTTGAATGGTGCTCACCTTCCCAAGAATTCTGCTGATTCCAATCTTGCTGAGTCCATGATCTTGGGTGCTTTCAGAGCTCTCGGGGTCCAAAGAGATCTCATGGGGTTGGGTAGCTTCTGGCTTCAACAGTCGTCCTCATTGTTAGTGCATCCGGCTGGCAAGCCCAATCTTCTACAGCAGGGATTCCGGTTCCGAGTCTGGAATGACGCAAGCTCGTACAACGCGCTGTGTCAGGCCTTATCCAGAACTGTCGGAGCGTACGTCGTGCTGCCTCACAAAGCCGCGAAAAATGGATACATGCACAGCGAACGCGAACGCGCTTTGGTCGCAGTTGCGAGCGTCGCCGCCGGCGCCCGGTGCGCCACTGCCAGGTGGGTTTGCGCCGAACATCCAGGACCCAACGTCCGCATCCAAATTTAGAGGCGATTCCGTGTGCTCTTTTGTCTTGTAACCAAGGAGAACGACGAGGGATTGCAGGCATTGGTGGATGCGATCAAAGAAGCTGGCCACACTGGCAAGGCCATTCAGAAACCTGAAGTTTGATGTCTGTCCATGTTGGAGCGGGCTGACATGTTCAGAGGTGAAGCTCGCTATGGACATTGCTGCATCGGAGTTCTACAGTCACGAGGACTTTCCGACTTGTCGTGTGCGCTGGAGCGTGTTCCTTCTTACCCTCTCTCCCTCTCTTCTCTTTCTCACTCTTTTTTTTTTTTCTCTCTCTCTCTCTCTCTCTCTCTCTCTCT